TTCCAGCAATATACCAAACGTAACCTAAGAGTGTTCTAAACACGAAAGCACCTAAGAACAAGCATGGAATGATTATTTATATGAGAAAGTAAACGTAAATTAAAACGAGTGACAGGTTTCATGAGTTAACTTTACATTTAAGATGTTCTAGATAATAGATTTGGCTGTGGACGGTATGCTAAAAAATGTGTAATGGAAAGAAAATTAAAACTTTAGAACTAAGCAACCAAAACATGACTCCACACATGGATCACCTTAGTGATATTTAACTCAAAAAACTACAAAATTAATTATTATTTGGAAAGTTACCTTGCCAAGTGATTTTGTAATCACAATGGCACTTCTCGAACCAATCCCGTGAACACTATAAAGAGCAAAAATCCTTGCCAATCAAGTGCTTGGCCTTTAATGATAATACACACAATTGCACAAGAACTTTCAACAAAGGAAGGAGTTTTTAACTATACTTTGTACTAACAAATAGGACAACAATTTTCCGTTTCTTCTTTTTCACAAGCTTAGCCAAAGCTTTTTTGAAAATTATTTTATAAGCAATTTCCTCTTTCACACAAAAGAAAAGGTGGCAAAGAGAGAAAAAACCTTTTTTTTTTTTGACAAAAATTAAGTTTCTTCTGTTGTGAAATCTCTCATATAAAAAATAGTTAAAAGGTGACTTATATAGTTAGGTTAAAATACTTTAATTTTACAATTAAGCCCTCAATATTATAACACATTATAACATTGGGCCCATTATTTAATTAAACTCTTTCAATTAAGTCTTTGAAAATTAAAATCAAAATTAATTTTCTTTATATTTTGCAATCAAGGCCTTATAATTATAACTATTTATAATTATGCCTAAAACTTAAGTAAACTCTTTTAATTAAGTTTATAGAAGTTAATTACCTAGCATGTGATTTAAGTCTAACTTAAATAATTACTTTTCGAATTTAATTTAAATGCAATCATTGTGTGTGACCCATCAAGCTTCTAACATATTGGCAATAGAATTAATTAACGACTTAATTGATTAATAAAAATTTCAGTCATTTAATTTATAATCAATTTCATAGACCAAGATTGGCATCTATAAATGCATCAAAGCCACCTAATTGTTAGGAGAGTCAAAATGCTCTTTGACAATCATTCAGTGTACATTCTATCCATGTAATTCATTCCCTCATCATATATCCCGGAGATGATAAGAGTTCGGTATATTGTCTACTCGTATTGACCTTCATATTCATTCTTGCAACTATAGTGGTAACTTTATAAAGACTTATAAAACTTTTTTATAATCTCCATGTGACCTTGGCCAAGGACTTCGATAAGCTAATGTTAACCAATAACTAATAAGATATGTCTTCTAAAACACTTACGGTGATAATTCTTATTTTTACCACTCATTTACCTTTACATGCTTCATAGTATACCCAAAAGCATCTTGTTTAGGCATCCTTGGTTAGGCACTCGTAAGGATGAAATTAAAGCATAGAAGTCCACATATAAAACAACTTAGTGTCTCAAGTCTAGGGAGTATTTATACGACTAACACATGAAAAGTATTGCATAAACATTGGAGTGTGTTACCAAATGCACTTCTCATGGAGGGTCATGTTCAGTGAACTTGCTCTCCTTGGCAAACACCTATATTCTAGTTTCAAATATCTCTATACTTCAATCTATGAGATCTATTACTTACTTCCAAAGTAAAAATATAAAATATACAAGTTTCTGAGCATCATTGATGTCTGATTTCAATGATACATTGACTATGAACATTTTGAAATTATGCTTATAACTCATTATAATTGATATCTTATTGATAAAGAAAAACCTCTAATCATTCAACATGAATGATATTGTTGCATGATAGAAATCAAGCCTTAACCAATCCCAATTGATTGTAGAATTTATCCCAACACTAGAGAGCTTAACTTGGTGGCTCAAATATGGAGATAGTTAAGAAAACTTCGTTTTAACCTTTCCTTGAAGTACATGTGCTTTACACTTTTTTCTTTCTTTCTTCGTTATGAATACACATGGCGCACTATTAATTGTCACCACTCCATTACCAAAAACTTATGCCCACTACTCAATTACATGATCATTCTTTTAATATCCTATAAACCGTTCTTTAACTGTTCTTTCATGACAAATACATTTTCCCATGATTGAACGTGTTCTCCCAACTACTCTTGAGAAAATGCTCATGTTCAGTATAGATATGAAAGCCTTGGAGGTTGGGAGAGAAGAATAAATTATTAGAAACCCAGCAGAGATTATTTTAAAAGCTCTCTCAATCTTCATCTAAACATTCATCCTACTCAACCCTTTTCATCCACAGCAATCTGTCACTTCTCTTCACCTTTTCTTATTCCTTACCACCTATCACCAAAGAATTTACATTTCAAGGGCTACTTCAGTTTTTCTTTCTACTACCTTTAGTGTATTCTGCATCACTCAAGAATTGTATAGTAATTTTTCAAGAATTGGGTACTTTATAGGCGATGGCATTGATAACTTTATTAGTAATAATTTTAAGCAAAGAAATTGTAACCTACCAGGTTGCTAAATTACTAATGCATCTAATACTCTTTTTTCATAGGTGCTTAAGTAAAAGGTTCTGTTCCATATAGTCAAAGCATAAGAATGTCTTTAACATTCAATGCACAATGATTCTTTCTGATGCCTTATTTGGTAGTTTGTGACCGTTCGGTCAAAGTAAGCTTCTCTAGTGGATATGGTAGTTTTCAATCAGCCTTGCTTCACTCCAGTTGAGCTCATGGCAAGTATTTTATTCGTCTTATGGAAAAGAATAACAAATGGAATAGATTCAGTAAAAGGCTATGAATTCTTTATTATCTAGAGGATTTTAAATATATATATATATAAATCAATAAATTCATTTGCACACAAGGTTTGATATTAATGTAATATTCTAATTATGCATGAAATTTTTATGCAAGAGGCTAAAAAAATAACTATGTTAAGTGTTTTAGGGGTGTTCCAAGCACGAAAGCACTTAGGGTCGTTCCAAATGTAAAAGCGCCAAAGGACGTTCTAAATGCGAAAACACCTAAGATCATTCCAAGTGTAGAAGTGCCCATAGGCGTTCCAAGTAGACTTTCCAGAATTATTTTCCTAGTATGAGTCTAACGCTTTAAATTTCCTAAACAAATTTTTTTGTTCTTATTATCATGCTTAAAAAAATCCAATTTAAAGATATTCCAAATGTGGAAACACCCAGCATTTCAAGCGCGGAAGTGCTTAAGGGCGTTCCAACTGGGAAGCGCCCAAGGACGTTCCAAATGCGTAATGCATAACGGCAGCAGCAGCAGCAGCAACAACAACAACAACAACAACAATAATAATAATAATAAATAAATAAATAAATAAATTTGCAAGCTATTCTTTAAAAACAAATATATATATATATATATATATATACACACACACAAGAGTCGTCTTGCTTATTACTATATGCATCTTCTTATTTTATGCATAAAACTCCTTATAAGAATTTTAATGCAAGGGCAAAATGTAGATAGTCAATTTTGACTAACTATTATTTTTGAAGTACTATGATACAGAAAAAAATTACATCAGAGGTGTTCTAAAATGGAAGCACCTGAAGTCTTTCCAAGTGCGGAAGTGCCCAAGGGCATTCTAAGTGCAGAAGACGCTCAAGAACAAGCATGTAATAGTTATTTATACGAAAAAGTGGAAGTAACTCAAAACGAGTGACAGGTTTAATGAGTTACTTTCACATTTAAGATGTTCTAAAGAGTTTGACTTGGTAGCTCAAATATAGGAATAATTAAAAGAACTTCCTTTTAACTTTTCTTTGAAGAACACGTGTTTTACCATTTTTCTTTTTTTCTTCTTTAAGAATTCATGTGACGCATTATCAAGTGTCACTACTCTATTATCCACAACTTATACTTATTATCCAACTACATATCATTCTTTTAATATCCCATAAACTATTCTTTAATTGCTCTTCCATGACAAACACATTTTCTAAACTATTCTTAAGAAAGTTTTTTTGAGTAATATAAATATAAAAGCTTTGGAGGTTGAGAGATAAGAAGAAATTTAAAAACCCAACAGAAATTATCTTGAAAGGTCCCTCAACATTTGTCCAAACATTCATCCTAGTCAACCTTTTCCATCGGTTGTAATTTGTCGCTTTCCTCGACCTTTTCTTATTCCTCATCACTTATCACCAAAGTACTTATAAATCAAAAACTACTCTAATCTTCAACTCTATCATCTCTAATATATTTCACTTTACTCATTGCAACATGTGTTATTTCTCTATCAAAAGAAACTTCTACAGCTACAAACAATCCCGCTAAACTTGGCAAGTTGGTATAATTAATCGAGACTGGTTCTCTACACATGATTCGTAGGAAGCAGTCACTTCGTCCACACCTGCAGCTTTTGCTTGAGGGCTCTTTGTTTCTGAGTTTAATAAAGTGGTGGATGCATTTATGTTCGTAGGCAGGGCAATCAGATGACTCTTTTTCTAGCTACAGCGACATGCAGCTGAGTTCCCAAGTGACTATTCCTTGGAATCTGTATGAAAAGTTTAATCAATTGCCTTTTTGTGATTCTAGTCTACCTAGCTGGGCAACAGTCGTAAATCGAACAAAATTATCCTTCATTTGTAATTATCCTTATTTTTTGTCAATCTAGTCTAACTAGCCTCGTGACACGCGCAAATACTTACCACTATATTACAACGATAATTTAATATAAAGTGTGCAAATTTTTTTATATAATTTTATTGATGCGGCAAGTTCATCTACAAGAACACAGCACTAGAGCCAGGAAAGGTAGCATTTTCCTTTTAATTCTTTTTCCGCTTTACAAATGAAATAAAATCTCAAAACTATTGCAATTACCTTAAAATTAGTATCATGTTAGAATTAGTATCGCGCAGCAAATCAATACTTTAGCCAGATCATATCTACCCAAATTGCTAAGAATCCAAATTTCCAAAGAAACAAACAGGTTACATTAATATCAAATAAATAACACCGTATATCAGATTTCTAAGACCACAAAACTGCAATAAATTGCTTCATAATTCAAATAGGTTTCAAACAGACACTTTGCAAAATTGATTATGGTCGCACAGGCTCCACTTCTAACCTCTCTCAAAAGCCATGACAAATTGTAGGCACTGAGGCAGTAGATAAGTTTTCTGGCACCTTGGCTTGACTACCTAATCTATGATTCGGGTGCATTAGCATCCTCAGTCTTTTCAGTCTTTTGACGTTTCGCTTCGCGCTCACTTTCTTGAAGGTTGAGACATCCATTTACTGCCTCTTCACCCAAAAGTGATATGTGCTTGCTGGTGATTTGGCGACCTGCCCTAAGCTTTGGCCCCCAGTGCCTCTCAGGATTTGGAAGGAAACGAGCAACCTTCTTAGCTTGTGCCTTGCTCAGGGATGCAACAGCTCGAGCGAAATTTGCCTGCCCAAAAAAAGTGGGGGCAGGGGTGTTAAAAGGAGCTTTTCCCACCTTCAATCTCAACTTGTTTATGTGCATGTTTATGTTGGAGAATGCATCTATTCACATGTAGAACATGAAACAAGGACACAGAATATCGGGGATGCTGGGGAAATCAGTATGCATCTAAAGAAAGCAGCATGTAAAACATACTTGAAGAACTGGTTCTTTGGCAAGTATTACACTTCCTGGCTGATCAGGCGGTTGAGCTTTCACTGGATGATTTTTAACCTATAGAGAAAACAGAAACTTATGAAACCATTTCAGCACACTTGTCTTGACCAAATTAATGTATGCGGGGTGTTGAGGAGTTTGAAAGTCCAATAATTTAATTAAGTTTAATTGTTTCACCCATATTCATTGTGTGCGTAAACAGAGAAGGAAATGGAGGAACAACAGAAAGAAACCCTTACCCAGCAACGCATTATGTCCCAAATGACATCCATGGGGGCATCCGATTTTAGTCCCAATGGATTCACATGAGTCCCAGAAATACGATATCCTGCATTGATCACAGCAGAGCGGAAAATAACCGCAGATGGGGAAGTGCATTTTAGTGTGGCACAGAGGTTGTGCAGACTCAAAAAGAGAGGAACATCAGGCAATTCCTGCAAAGATATTCCAAATTGTGTAAAGAACATTAAAAATTTAAAAAAAGAGCAGAACCCTGTTCTTTTAATAGGTTTAGTCATATTTATTGCATGAAATTTCAACTTCTGCTAGTTACAAACAATTTAGATACCCATCTTATCTCCGAAAGATCCCTACACTTTCACATTTCGAAATATTTGTGTCAAAATGCAATCATATTGAGCCTTTATTCTATAATTTCGTATCAGCATGGAAAATCGGACGGCTCAAATGGTTATTGAGCTAAAACCTGAACAACTATGTTTTAAGGGTGGAGAAAAGAACACCCAAACGAAAGTATTAAAAGAAAAAAAAATGCATACCTCTGAAATTGTAGTCAATACAGCAGAGATGCGATCATAGGCAGGATAATGGTCCTTCATTGATTTTACATCTGCTACTATGGAAGTTACCCACTCTTGATCATGGATGGGAGCAGACCATATAGGTCCACCCATATTAAATTTCTTTCCACAATCACTACACTCTTGAGGGACAACAGGTGCAAAGCCTGGGAGATACCTCACACTGGTATTCTGAAATTAAAAAGGTGCACGTAGATCAAAATATTGTCCAATCCAAAATTAAGCTACATCAAGAATGTCTTTGATGTAAAAAGCACACAGATGTCAATGATAAACAATATATAATAAACCATTGGATCCATCATTAAAACACAATTATACCATTATACTCCATGCCATATAATAACCTCGATACATTCCTTCTAATTATGTCTAACATTGAAATCAAACTCTCCACAAATAAAAGTAATAAATGGGCTTCTATAAATTAAGATGGATAATACACCAATTATCTTTCTTCAGAGTAAGTTTCCTTCACCGTTCCACCATTATCATGCAAAAAGTTGTGTCATTTGTCAAGGCAATATCCACAAGAAAATATTGGAAACAAGCATCCAGAGGCCAACTAAGGATAAATAAGCATACGAAAGTATTTATAAAGAAAATCTGATACAGCTACATCAGATGACCACCAGTAAACATAATCTAAGATACATAGTTAAAAACATTGAAAACAATAGCAAGAAACACAGGCACATGAAAAATTATGAGCAGTCTACCATCATGTATCAGAATAAAAGCTTTCGAATTATCCAAACTCTTCTACTAGTGGCATGAACATTTCACCAATAGCAACACTAAGCAATTGAATGCTCAGACAATGAATGTTCTTTTAAGGAGTTCAGATGTGCACCTAAATTATGACTCAACTATGTAGAAAAACAAATGGTGTAAGTTTTGTGCATGTTAATAACAAATAAGAAGCACCAATGGCATGATAAATCGGAAAGCACACCTTAGAAACAGTCCTCCCAATAGGCTGTAGATGAAAAGAATCACAACCAGTGCACTGATAGACATATGAGAGCTTAAGGGGAGTATTCTTCATCGCACTTGCTGATCTGCATTGAATTAATTGCTCTCCGCCATCATTATGTGAGAGTGACATTTACTTTAATAAACTAAATTAAAACAAATAGGCCACCTACGAGTATATGCGAACAAAAACACGGACATAAAAGTCCATCTGGACAGATAGCACTGGAACAATATAACGTTTGTAGCGGTTCGCATGACTCTGTATTCAGGAAGGAATAAATACCAATTATGGCAGATAAGAAGTTTATCATTGGAATTCAATTCTAAAAGAAAGCTTTCCGCAGAAAGTACATTGTGTAACAAAATGCAGTTCTAAGACAATGTGATTACAAGATATAGTTCCAGTTATCTTTTCTAACATCCTTTACCAATTAGAAGTTTTGCTAGTGAAAGAATAAAGGAGCCCTAGATGCCACAATCCTTTCACACCAAAGCAAGATTTTTGAGCTGTATAGTGAGCTCCCAATGCTAAAAGAACATGCCTTCTGAAGGAGAAGAAGCTACCTCAATGCAGGCTAGGAGAATCCTCAAAGCCATTTCGTGGCAATATTTCCCTCTTAATGGGTATGATCCGTATCTGCTTCCACAAGCAGTTATAAGATACTGCCAAATATTCAAGACCATAATTCAAATGAGGGTAAAGGTAGTACAATCTTACTTGGAATAGCAAACCTCCCCATTACCCCCACACAAAACTGCCATATCAGTTGCAGTGCACATCAGCATGCCCCCATCAACAACAGATTGAACTGCAGAGTCCAGGAACACGGAAGGTGAACCATAAGGATCAAGATCAACCTGAAACACAGATTTAAACATAAAGAGTATTAGCACAGCTTACCCTTGAATATTACCCCAGAAACAATAAAACTTACCCATTAATTATGAATTGTGGATCAGAAACCAATTACAAATTCCCATTTGATTAAGAAACTTTTCTTTTACAATGTATACAGTGGTTTTGACAAAAAATGAATGCATAATAAGAACTATACCATAGAAGATGGAGATCTTCGACAAAGTTCGATTTAAAGCTTTAATGAGCATATGCATATCCGATCAATTTCTTTTGCACCAGTTGAGCAAACATGCATAACAAGATTTACATGTAAAGTTGATAATTTGAAGTATAAAATAGCATATGCATACCACGTCAAATTCTTTTGGGTGGGTAAGCATGTATACACGAGCATCAGCTAGATGTGACTCCACTTTTGAACAGGCTACAGAACCATTGAACTTTATGTTTCTTTGGCAAGCTTCAACCGCCCCTGCAAGTAGACACATAGGATTGGTATATATAAGCAGCAAGTCAACCATATAGGTAAAATCTGCGTTTACGTACAGTCATATATAGCATGAAATATAGGAACCAGAAAGGTAGAAACTACAGGTCCTCCCTTGTCCAAAATGATCCTTCAAACAAAATACATATAAAATACCTTTATCATTGTCTAAGGCAACAACTTGACCAACCCCTTCTACTTCCTGAGCATATCTGAGAGCCCTTAACCCAGATGCTGATAGCGCCTAAAAATCACCAGAAAAAGAACTCAGAAAATGACTTGACTAGCACTGGGAGGAAGCACATAATTTATATCTCAAGAATAGAAGATTGTGGAAGAACCTCTAGAACTCTTGATGGTTTGAGCTCCCCTTGAGCTTTTCCCTCTGTCTTAACTGGTTCTTCTGATGTACTACATGTTTCTTCTTGATATTTCTCTTCAGACCCTTCACATTCTCCATTTGATTTTTCAATCTTCATATCCAACTCATTAGGTTTTTCTTCTACATTGGCTACAGAACCATTATTCTCAGACACCTTTGGTGCTGGTTTGGTTCTTTTAGACAAAAACGCCTCATGTTCCTGCTTCCGTTTTGATATAAATGTCCTCAGGACAGCAATGGACATATCTCTGTTGTTAACCTGATCATCATAGTGAACTATTAGGATCCTCAGCTAGTGAATAAGAACTACAAAAACAACTAACACTACAATTATACTGCAGAGGAAACAACATCCTACTCCAAAGTCCAAAACATCTACATATAGAGTATAATAGGTAATTCAGTGACAGCATTACATAGAAAATTTCCAATTAGCTTTCTTTCCACCTTTTCTCAGCAGCCAATCAATGCTTAACTTAGAAGACCCCCCAGCAGAGTCTTTCCAACAACAAATCATATACAAAAAATGCAACTTTTTAATTAAACCAAAAGCTTCCAATTAACTAAAATTAAAAACCCAAAAAAATTCTCACCACAAAAACAAGAAATTCAATCAAATTTTCACTGCCCAACAGTTCAACCAATTAAGCAGAAGTCCAGACATTTCATACAAAACCCATAATTAGCTTCTCTTAAAACACCCAACTCGTCAGAAGAAGAGAACTTGACAATAAACCAAAAGCTACCCCTCAAATAAAACTAAAAAACCAATAAAACTATAACAATGAATTCAATCAAAACATTAAAAAAAAAAAAAAAGCAAATTAGGAACCTGAGTTTTGTTGTAAAAGACTTCATTTTTAGCATGCATAAGAATCTCGGCTTCTCCTTCCTTGATGATAGCGTAATCATTGAGATCCATCGACATTGTTTACCTTGTTTCATGCAATAAGAAATTCTGGGTTTCTTTTATTTTCCCCTTCTCCTCTAGTTTGTCCCTTTCTTTTTGCAGTTTCTTTTCTTCCTTGGGTTTTAAGTGAAAATTTGAGGTAGCAGAAATGGAGAAAGATTTTTTTTTTTTTTTGCTTTATTTTGTTGGTGTTAGCAACTTGTTTTGATGCTTAAAAGTTTGTGAAAGCTGCAATTTCATAGAAGTAAGGAGCCCTGCTTATAAACGTGTGCTTGGAATACGGAAAGTGGAAGCCCTATTTTTATTTACATTTTTTCTTTTTTTTTTTAAAGAAAGAAAGTAATTTGGTGGTTTTTGAGGCTTTTCTTAAACCCTAGCTACTTTGTATATGTTAGAATTCCTAAGTAGTCCTCTGCTAACGTGAGCCATGTATCTTTTCCCAAAAAGGACTATTTGGGGGTTTCCTCCTGCACGTTGTCATATTTTCCGGAACCGCCTCCTCTTTTTCTCCTTTTTCTCTCTTTTTTATTATTTTTTTTGGTTCTACTCAGTCTTCTCCCATCTCCAGCAACGCGGCTCCACGGCAGTGTACCATCGTTTTGGGTTCTCCATAATCAAAAAGAAAAGGGAAGAAAAACATATGGAAGAGCCACATTCAGTGAACAGTCCGAGGAGAATCCTTAGTTTTTCAAAGAGAAGAAGAGCAGCGGCATCTGTCTCATTTCTTGACCCTGATGAAAGAACAAGTTCTGGTTTTGGAGTGTCAGGGGAACACGGTCCTAAACCTTCTGAGGTTTATGGGTTTGTTGGTTCGATCACAACTGTTGTTGCTACAGGTCCTAATCTCCTCATCGTATCCCCTTTCTTACGTTTCATTTATTTCCATGTTGCTGCATTTGTTAGGTTCTATGATTATTATACATTCTGGTTGTGGCTTTACTTGTTTTTCCTTTTGGGAAATGTAAAGTGAATACTGGATTGCTTAAGTTACTTGCTTCGAGAACTAAACGAGTTACATGTAGCTTTGCTTTAATATAGAATAGTTACGTTAGAACCGATGTCATTTTTTAATCATTTGTTCAGTATGAATTATGATTTTTCCTCTTATTATTGCTTATTCTTTTATTTTTTTTTAAAAAGCGAGAGTAAATTGTAAAAACCAAGTAGCAAAGTAACAATGAAATAGAGCTTTAGTTGATGATATGTAGAAGATGAGTTGGATTAGAAGGAAATCTACCATGCTTACAAGCAGGCTTCTACATGTATTGTTTATTGGAAACATTAAAATATGACTAGTAATTTATCAGTTTGGTTTAATCCTGTCATGGTTCTTCAGTGATGTTTTTCTATGTGATATTTTGAGTATGCTCGGATATCGTCGTGTGCCCTGAAAAATCACAGAAATTGTTGAAATTTTGTGCATGTAAATGCACTTTGCTTGGTGTTGTGGTGTTCCTATGTTCTTTGTCCATTGCCTGTAATCTGGTAAGCAAAATTGTTCTTTGTGTAATTTAGTGCACAATCTTGTTTAAAACTTGATATTTAGTGAAGCAAAGGGATAGGGATTTATTAGAAGATCTAAAAATACTCACAAATTTTTGTAAATTTTTTTGAGCAGCTATTTTCTTGGTATGGGCATATATTCCAGAACCTTGGTTACATTCTGTTGGGATCTTCTATTATCCTAGCAGGTCAGCAATATTTCCTCTGCTAACTAAATGTTGTTTTTAGAAAAAAAAAAATTCTTCGTAGTCACATTTGTCTCTTTAAGTGAAAATAGATGAAATGATATGAGAAAAAGTGGCCTTCTTCATGCAGGATCTTAGTTCAGCAGTACCTTTTCTACACATTTGGTGGCTTAGTGTTTAAGGGATCATTGCAGATCTAAAATTCTACTGAGAATGTATTGATGTGTAGATCTTAGGATTTATGATAATGAAAACAAAGGGTAGTAGATAGTAGGAAGCTATATCAGTTTTTTTTTTATTTTTTTGAAAACAAGGGGGAAAAAATTAAGGCAGGTGTGGAAAGCAGGGAGTTATACCCTTACTGCAAGTTAAAGGAAGCTGAAGTAATCTCTGAATTATTCTCTCTGCTACTCTCTATTAAATTGAAAGATAATACACGTCTATGTAGGCTGCTAAGAATTCTGCACCAATCCTGCTATTCTCTAAACCCTGTTTTGAATAGGGCAAGTCCTTAGGGCAACTCTGGACCTCTTGAACTCCCATGCATTGCTAATGCACGCACAGTGCCTTTGAGCCAAAACTTCACTAGTACTGTTTGGTTACATCTAGTATGTTTTTATCTACAAATGGGTCAAACTGAGTTTAGTTTGAATTAATAACCTCTGCTGGAAGCTCTGAGCAGGAAGAGAAGTTCTTGAATGACTTGGGCAATTGAAATATGTTAGTATTTTTACCAGTTTTGTTATAACTTAAGTTGAAAGTACCTAATTTGGAAAGATTCTCCCTTTGTTGGTCTGTTCACTAATCTTCTAATTATCTAATCTCTATTGACATAAAAGGGTAGTGAATTTTTTCTGCCAAGATTTCTATCACTGTAACTTGAAAATTATGTTGTGAGTGATTTACCTTTCAGATATTGGGCTTTGGCTGTTCCAACTTATGCTATGGTGATAATAGTGTTAGCTATCGTATTTTATATTGGCCTCAACTTCATGTCAACCCCACCATCAACTTCGTTAACTACAATCTTTGGTAAGTTATAACTTGCTTTTCTATTGAGGTGTTCATGGATTTTCATTAGGATGAGAAGTAGTTATAAACTTTGCGCAGTTAAAGCTAACACAATTTACATTAGTCAAAATGTTTTGTTGATTAATCCTTAGTTGTGAAGATAAAGATTTTGACTTGTTTTAGATTCTGCTTTGCTTGCATTGCCATTGTGTGAGTGAAATTTTTACAATACTGGAGTGTTCTTCCTATTTGTAGATGAATTCAGCAGAGAACCTTCAAGCTTTTTGTCTTGTAACGTGGAGGATGATGACCAGCCAATTGAGCCCATATCTGATCTTGGCATCAACAAAATTAATGTTTTCATGTTTGATAATGCCAAATGACTGTCCTCCTTAGTTGTATCTGTCCTGCCTCACTATTATTGGGCTCAGAAAAGCATGCACATATGGTTTCTCTGGAAACTTTGATAAGTTGGTCAGTTTTAGATATTGGAATGCATACATTTTGATTGTTTGAGAACAAGTCAGTTTGTGTCCTTTAGTTAATGGGATTGTACACAGATTGTGTAGGCATATGTATCTATATCAAAGGATTGTGAATACTAGCATTGTATTGCAATTATTATGTAAGTTTAGGCTTTAGAAATCACATAAATTGAATTCTTGTGTAAATTTTTGCATAGTTGGGAAATATATACTACAGCTTACGTGAAAACTTCGTGCATGGTTTTCTTACGATTGGATTTTCTTTTTCTAGACATTAAGAAAATGCTTTGGTGATTTTATACTTATTATCAAGGAAGGAGGCTGTCTTTCTGATCCAATTAGGAAATTGTATATGAAAATTTTTTTTTGGGTAGAGAAATGCCACTTTACAATCTGCTAGTTATTGCTAACTAAGGATTCTCCTTGGATTGTTCACTGATGTGGCTCTTCCAGAAGCTTTTTTTTTTTCTTTTTGATTATGTAGAACTCAAAACGATGTAGTTTTTTTATGGTAAACTGTGGTGGAACTGCGATGGTATAGATCAGAGAAGACTAGAACAGAAAAACAAAAGGATCAAAGAGGAGCGGGGGGTATTGAAAATGTAACGTAAACAGGTTTTCAGGAGAAACGGCATCGTTTGAAAGTAGTATATGGGTTACTTTGCAAGCCCGAGTCGAATAATTATGAGACTGAGTTAATTTTGAGATTTAATTAAATAATATATTACATCTTAATAGTTATTAGTAGAAGAAAACTTTTTGTGGTGGTCAACGAAGATAGAGGTTAATATCTTGTAGGAAGTAATCCCATGGACACACCATTAGACCCCATTGGAAATGTTATAATTATTTAGCAACATCCAACATCCAACATATTTGGCATCTTTGATTAAACTATTTAGCAAATAAAACTTGGTAAATCGCAAAATTCATGCAGACAAGAAACTTGTCCTTTCCTTTGGACCAACACCGCAAACTATATAATATACCCTTTTAACAAGTCCATGCAGATACTGCATACAATGGTCTATCATGCCAACAAATCATCGAAGCTGCCTTTCCCTGAACAATCTTGTAACCATCTTTGCCACTTGCTTCCACCATCAGCTTAGCATCTTCCATGGAGTCATACCAAATTTGAACTGGCTTGAACCCAGCCTGCCCAAGCCTAACCATCCATCTGCCATGCCTCTCATGCCTCTCTTCTCGCTCAACCCCCTCACACGCCACAATGTTTTCGATTTCTTTCCCAAACATTCCCTCCAAAGCATGCCTTTCCCCACTTGACGTCCCCCCAAATGCTGCATCAATTGAGTCGAACACCGCACTGTAGTAATGCAATCCCTCCATGAATCGATCAACTAACCGGTTCAAGTTGTGATCCGCTTCTTGCTCCACTACAAGTAAGACTTTGGGCCACAATGACCGGATCATCGTTAAGAAGTGACACATTTGCTTGGAATTTTTGATGCCGTTTATATTCCTGTTGTCGCCGAAATGTGCATCGACTCTATCATCCTCTGCTAATAAGGCATGGAGGCTTAAGATAGATATGAAAGCTAGTGCTTCTCCTGATCTCACCTTAAGCATATCCGACGTTAGCTCTTTTAGACTTACATTTAGGGGGTTGAATTGGAAGGCCATGGCTAGTGCTTCTGCCTCTTTTACAAGCCTTGCTCCTAACTTGTCGACGACAGCCTTGTTAGCGTTCATACAAGTCACCTTCAAATGGGGAGGCCCATCCGGCATGCACGACAAGGTCCGTAGGAGTGGAACCCACAAGTTGACGTCACCGGAGCCCATATCCACAAGATGGATCACTCTCTCCCCCATCATTGCCTTGATCAATGTACGGGTTATGATAGCATACGACAACCCGAGGTAGGGAAAGGCTCGGCCCAAGAGGGGCTTCGCATCATCAAACTCTTGTTTTGTCAATTGAGTGTAGTTCAAGGCCTTATGTAGGCCAGGCCAACGCTTGACAAGGCGGATAGCGAGGGCAGAGGCAAACCGTACCGAAAGACGTTGTATGGAGTCACCAGACACCGAGGCAAGCAGCGATATTTGCCGGAGACACTCGTCGGCACGGTGTAGGTTACCGGAGGATGCATGCTTGGCACATATTAGGAGAAGTTGGATAAGGCGGATGCCTCTTTCTTCGGGCTTTAAGGCCTCAAGTGGAGTTGGGCAAGGCAGCAATGTAAGGGACAAGCTCACCTCCGGCCCCGGAGCCGGGGAAGAAGTAGTCATCTAGGCGTTGGACTAAATCTTTTGAGTTTTGCCCAAGTTATAGAAGATGCAATGAGAATCATCTTTGAGAAGGAGCAGGTGAGCATGGTAGAGGAAGCTAGCTCTTGGAACTATCTTAGTTGTTCCATATCAAAGAATACAAGTAAAGGAATTGTTTGTCAGAAAAAGGGGGGGTTTTCCATAATTGACTTTCATGAAATGTTTGTAGTTAGATTCAAACGGGTTGACTCACGCCCTTCATTGAAATTAGAATTGTGAAAGCTTCATCACTATAACCATTTCCTTTCATGTAACGCCAACATCATATTTCCCATTAATTACAAAATCAGAATTAATTAAAGCTGCTTCCCTGTTATTTTTAAATCTAACCACCAAGGTGGCGGGCAAGGGGAATTGTTTTTAGCCTTTGGCTTTAAGTTTCTCCCCCCTGATTTGTCAAATTTAAATTAACCTAATGGAAATGGGTTACAACAAAAGTGCAATGAACAATTAAGCTACCTTTCACCCACCATGCATTGATTAAGTTTTTATCAGAAAATGATCAATTACCACCATGGCTTTGGCACTTGAAAACAAAGAATCAAAGACAAATTCATTCTTACTTGGTCAATTCTAGCTAATTAAGAGAGCAGAATTTTGAACTTTGAATTAAAAAATATTCTCTTGTATAAACTTTTTGAGCCTTTTTAACTTCCCAAGTCACGCTCCCTAATTTATAGCAGTGTGGCTTTTGTCCATCAGCTGGCTTCCCACCAGAACATGAAGGAGACAGCTTTGCCAATGGGAGTCCATTCACCTTAAACATTTGGTGTGCTCTCCACCTCAACGTTAGAAATTCTAATAAATTAAAGGTGCGTTTAGTATATAAGATTATATACACCAATGAACAGTTTCGTAAGCGTAAATTTACTACACTACCTTATAAGAAAAGTAGGTGCATCTAGCAATCAAAGTATATGTGCAACTCTTGGCTAGCATTTCTTTATTGGATGGCCTGTCCAATCTTTTTTTGTGCACTTTAACTTCTTCCTGAAACGAATATCATCCATCCTTTCCTTCCCCAAAGAAAATTTGGGGGGGTAATAACATTAATTCAAGCCAAACTGAATGATATCCCGATCAAAAACTGATCATGCCATGTATTTGATTTGATCAAAAACTTTGCATCTGTATTCTCTCAAATCATAAGAATGCAAGCAAAGACTGTAATAAAAAAGACAGGTTAAAAAAAGAAGGAAAAGAAAAGGCGTACGTGTCCTAATTAGTTATGTTCATGCCGTCTACCTTCACCATTTCTTGTTGTCTCTTTGCATGAAGCGAGGAAAGATCACACTCAAGAGGAAGTAAGGCCAGGCATTAGAGGCCAAAGATATATCGCCACCACCATCCAAAGGTGGGGCGCCGGTGTACGGATTGATCGGTCCCACCATGGATCTTCCTAGATCAAATGTATGATCCAATTCAGCCCTTAAGCATGAAAGATAATGCATTGTATACGTAATAAGACCAATGGACAGTGTTGAGGAAAAAAATGGTCAACCTTTCTCTATAGCAATGCAGCCAAAGTCTAAAAGACAACGAAGGAAAGGTGGATTGAATCTAAATAGGAAACACCATCTTCGAGGATCAACTTTCTAATAAGTACATATGTATTCTGGTATGCCCTATAATGCATGTAATAAATAATACAATACGGTGAGGTAGACATATACTAGAAGATTTGGATAAGTATCTTATCTACATGTAACTATATATAGTTTAAAATACAATATACAACTTTGCTCTGGCTTAAACTTATCTGTAAGTAGCTAACTTAACTTTCTAATGTTCATCTAACTTATCTATAATACGCCCTAGCAAGATTGAGGCGACAATGGAGACTCCAATCTTGGAATTAGTAGCTCATAGCGTGGCCTGGGCAAAGATTTTGTAAGCGTATCAACTGATTGGTCCTTTGTGAAAATATGTTGCACTTGGAGCAGACCTTTAGAAACTCTATGACAAAGTGAAAGTTTAGGGATGTTTTTCCATTAATTTTGGAATGCAGGACTAGATTAGCTGATAAAAACCTTGCTCCCATAGTGTCAAAACAAAGTAAAGGTGATTGTTGCAAATTATTAATGTGCATCTCAGCTAATAAATTTTGAATCCAAACCAACTCTGATGCAGTAGAAGCAAGAGGAGCAATTGATTTTTGTTCATTACATCCCCAAGCCTCTGGATTTCCAGAGAAATAGATGATGTAAGTTGAAGTTATATATATAACCACGATCAGTTTTATCTCCAACCAAGTTAGCATCTGAGTACGCAATAAGAGACGGTGAGGAGTTATGAGACATATGTAGCAGCAAACTATGATAAATTGTGCTTTTGATATATCTGAGAATTCTTTTTACCACCTTTGCAATGCAACTCGGTAAGCTTATGCATAAATTGTGAATGTTTATTCACGAAAAAAGCTATATCAGGTTTTGTTATCGAAAGATACTGAAGTGCAACAATGACTTGCCTCTAAATTGTGGCATCAATGGGAGAACTTCCATCTTCAAGAACACGAGCATGATATTGAAACATTGGAGTGGAGATTTTCCATTTTTTTTTTTGGTCCTTAATTTTTGCTTCCAATATCGATCTTGGTCTTTTGAAGTAAATCCAAAATATATTTATGATGTGTCAAGAGCAAGCCAGCCTTAGTTGGGACAACTTCCACTTTGAGAAGATAGTGTGGTTTACCTAACTCCCTAAGTGAAATCTAGTTGATAAATTTAAGCAACCACTTACTCTATATAGCATGCTTATCATTGCCGGTTGAAAGTAGGTCAACATAAACCAAGAAATACATAAGCACTCGACCATTGTTGTAGACAAAAACAGAAGAATATGATTTTGTTTGGACAAAGCCACTACCAACTGTAAAAAGTCTTTTACAAGCCCAGTACAATTAATTAATGGGAAAACAAAAAATTGCTAGAAACTAACTAATAACTGAATGGAAAGGTAAAACAGTCTAAGAAATTCCTACAATGCCTGTTAGTCTAAGTTTTACTTACCTCAGTAATTACTGCTTAATGAACGGTAACACCCTATATTAAATAACACAAAACCAAAGCTTTTAGGGTATTTGCAAGATCAAACAAAGGCTTAAATAAAAATATTAAAACTTTTCTAACTTCCTTCTCAAGCTCATCTACTGTTAGTATTTAAAAAACACTAACTCTAAACAAATTCAATCTCTAGTACTCCCCTCAAGATGAGTATGGATATTTAAAACACTCATCTTAAATGGCCCTGGTTGCAAGGGTTTTGTGAACAGGTCTACGAATTGAAGCTTTCTACCAACATAACAAGGCTTGATCAATCCTTCCATATTGAAGATCTAGCTTTTCTTCTTCCTTTGATTAAAGAAGACTTTATTTAGATAAGTTAACTGAAATAGTCCTCTGTCCATTTCGTGGTTCCTACTTGATGTTTAAAATACAAAACCACCCTTTGATAAACCCTTAAAATACACTTTAGCCTCTCTTAGTTCAAAATGCAGTGTTTTCACCCTTAACCAATACCCATTCAATATTAATAGTCAAATAGTTAATAAAATGTTAAAATCTTAACATACCCATATTCCTAATTTCCCTCAGTAATTTTATTATCTTCTAAATTCTCTTTACACTTTCTCTCTCTTTGTTACATCTCCTATCAATCACCACCTCCATCTCTATTTTCTTTTGTTTTTTTTTTAAGTTGATTGTAAAGTCCAATAATTAATAGCAACAAAATTTAACAAAAATTTTAAAATAAAATCGTTTCTCTAATGAGATGATAAACCCAATAGATTGGAAGAATACAAAAGTAGATTTAACTTCATCAATAATAGATGATAGATCTGATTTCAACGAAGCTCTTGTGAGATAAATTATAAATTTTATAAAATTGGAGTTATTATTTTTGGTGATGTATTAATTAAATTATATATCTAGTTTAATTTGAATATTATTACTAATTTTTTTTAGACTTTTGTTTTTCACTTCAAAGTTTAGAGTTTTTTGAATTGTTAATAAAACAACTTTAAATAATTAATTTCTTTCTTTTAATTTTCCCTTTTTTTCATCATTATGGGTATCTTTTTTTATTTTTTAAATTGATAAACATTGAATAAAATTTTTATTATTATTATTTAATTAAATTAGATTATGATATTCTTTGTATATTTTTAATTTGTCAATTATTTGAGAGTAATTATGATTTTTCATAATTACAGCTAAAATGTGTTTTAGAGTGTGTTTAGAAAGTTTTTTTATATTTTACCTATTCCCAGACAAGAAAAAGAAATAGAGGATTTCTTGATATGAAGCAAGGTTGGTGACTTACCGACTTAGCATAATTGAGGTTAGTGGAAGATGAGTGGCAGAATCTTATAACTCGTTAAATTATTCATAGTTAATTAATGGTGACTATAATTGAAAATGTTAGTCAAGATTCATCATATAAAATATACGACTAGTGGGATACACCCATGTGTCTCCGGGAGGCAAATCATATATTGAATTTCTTAAAAGTTGAGGCCAAGTCTACTGAGTTGAGCTCCAGCATTTTGAACTTGGAGTTGAGTGGAGAATGAGTGGAGCAGAGAAGGTGGTATGTGTAACCGGAGCGTCTGGTTTCATAGCTTCATGGCTTGTTAAGTTGCTACTCCAACGAGGCTACACTGTCAAGGCCACTGTTAGAGACCCAAGTCAGTTATGCTGCTCCTCTTGCTTGTCTTCTCTACTTTTCGTTTGTTTTCCTCCAGTCAGTTTTAAACTCGAATTAAAGATTTCATATACGAATATGCAACAGATGATCCAAAGAAGACACAACATTTGCTTTCACTCGAGGGAGCTAAGGAAAGACTTCATTTGTTCAAAGCAGAGTTGGTGGATGAAGGATGCTTTGACTCCATAGTGGATGGATGCCAAGGTGTTTTCCATGCTGCTTCCCCTGTCTTCCTTTCCGCTGCTGACCCACAGGTCCATCCTTTTTTATATTTCCACTTTGTCATAAATTTCACCCATCAAAATATAAATATATATATATATATATATATATATTACATATAGATCTTAGGCTACAGTATACAACAAGAGATAATTCTCTTCTATCTTATAAATCATGTTCCAATTCGAAACTGAGACTTCTAGGTTCTTAGTTGTTAGAGTATCCCTTGGAGACACTTCAAATACAATTATGACTATATATAACGTACACATTTCCATTGTAGGATGATTGAACTTGGACTCCATCACAAATTAATATAGTTTGGTACTCATGATGAATCCGTTTGATGTCATAGAATTTTGGCTCTAAGGTGCAACTATATGATATCATCTTCATGTGACAATATGTATGTGTGGCCTATTGTCACTTATTATCATCAAATCTTTATGCCAAAAATTTCATTGCTTCTCCCAATTTCAGGCAGAAATAATTGGTCCGGCCGTTAAGGGTACACTTAATGTTCTTAAATCATGTGCAAAAGTAGCTTCAATCAAGAGAGTTGTCATAACGTCTTCCCTGGCTTCAGTTGTACATAATGGAAGACCTTTGACTCCGGATGTGGTGGTTGATGAGACTTGGTTTTCAGATCCAGTTCTATGTGAGGAAGGCAAGGTGTGTACTTCTGCTAATCTCTGGGTAATTATTTATGATAAGCCCTGCAAATTTCACACCTAATGTATTTTTCAAGATTCTACAATTGAGTAACCTCATAAATTAATAGTATCGTCTTTTCCAGATACGTTCACCGGAGATAGGGTTGGCAGTTATGTAAATTAATCTCTTATACCTTGCGTTTTGAGCAAGTGATCTGTCTATATGAAGTTTACTGGCTTATGTTCTCCTGTCTGTTAACACAGGAATAGAGTACACTTTTTTTTAACTCTAATCTCACTGTTGGTGAATGTCACTAATCTATGAATGAACTACCAATGCAATTTCTCAATGTTTTATTTGTTCGATTCTTGTTAGGACTTTTCAAGTAATATTAAAATTCTCTTGCCTAATCATTTGTTTGCAAAGCAGACAATGAAGACTCAAGCATATTGCAACAGTATATCCTTGGTTCAGGCTAATTTTATTTGTATACGTCTGTTAGGATTTGGCAAGTAAACTGAACTAGAAGAACAGAAAGTAAGTATAAATGCAGCATTGAATTGCAGAAAGAAAAAAAAAAGAAAAAGAAAAGAGAACTTCACTATAACTTCATTAAGGAAGAAGGAACAATAATCTGCATTACAACATAAACGAACAAGATAAAACTCGTCTTAAAGATCACAGAAACAGAGCTTAAAGGACTGCCTTACACTAGCTACAGGCAGAAGGCAGAAATCAAGTCATGCATGCATTGGTTGCATGATCTGACACTGTCAACACAACTTGCACACGACAGTAAGATGTTGATGAGGTCATGGTCTCCACAGCTTGTTCCAGCATCAAGAACATCTAAGTAGGCTATCTAGGCAATGCGATACATACTCAAACATCCGGAAGTGTTTATAAATATTACACATGATCTTAAATTATGCAGTTAAAATTCATAGTATATCTTATTTCTGTCTTCTCAGTTTACTGTATCCTCTAATGAAATCAAATTTGCTTAGATGATAAACAGAAAAAATACATGCATATTTATTTTGGAATGGTATTGTCCTAGTAATAGTTCTGCATAATATATTGGTTTTTTCCAGCGTTGGTATATGCTTTCAAAAACCTTAGCTGAGCAGGCAGCTTGGAGGTTTGCAAAAGATACTGGAATCGATGTGGTAACAATACATCCAGGAATGGTATTCGGTCCTCTTTTACAGCCAGCTCTAAATTCCTCATCAGAGGTGATTCTAAACCTCACAAAAGGTACATTTCTCCATGATTACATGCATCTTTCATGTACCTCGTTTTTGTTGGTCCATCTAACCACCTTCTAGAAGGAAAAATACAGTGAGAAATCATTTGTCCTGGCTTACGTTTCATCTGAGAAACCAGTCAAAAACATGTACGGTATTGGATAATCCTTTCCCAAACGAAAACTGTGTTTTTCAACTTGCAATGATTTTACTAATTCTTCCAGTAAAGCATTGCTGAAGGTTTTTAAATGTCCCGGTAAATTGCTTTCCAGCCAATTGCATCAAATCCGTGATTGCTGCTAGATCCTTCCAAGGATAATTAGTCCCTGCTATATATTTCTGCGGTTCAAACAGTGGAAATCTTTTGGATGCAGGAGAACACAGTTTCCCAAGTCCAACTTGTGCATTTATTGATGTTCGAGATGTTGCATACGCACATATTCAAGCGTTTGAGGTTCCTTCAGCTTGTGGCAGATATTGCCTAGTCGAAAGATCTGTACCCTATTCTGAGGTTCAGAAGACCTTGTCTGAACTTCACCCTACTGTGCACCTTAATGAAAAGTAAGCTACGGTTCTTTCTCGCTATTTAGTGTCATTCATAGCTCCAGTTGTGAAATTCAATTATGCAACTTATACTGTGACGTGTTTCAGTTAATTACATTGTGCTTTTACTACATTCTTGTTCTAAAACCATTTTTTATTCTCTTATTTGAGTGTTAGCTTGATAAGTTGGAGCAATGCTAAAGTGAGGCTTTGGATAGTTAAATGTGAACTTTTTAGTCTAGGTAAAGGAAACAGAGTGGGAAAATAATTAAATCATTGTAGCCATGATCAAATGAGTGAATTACTAGGTAATTAGAACATGAGAGTGCTTTAGACGGTGGCTATATATATCTTTTGTGTTTTAGGTTGGAATGCAATGGCGAAGGGATTATCTCTAAAAATTTTAGTTGTTTTCTTTGAACAAGAGGGTGGTTCAAAATTTCTTACTGCAGGCATGACTGACATTCATTTCAAAGAAGATTACGTGATTATTGTAATATTGTACTTCTCTTTCCAGAAAAGTATTTGATGAATTGTAAAATTCTGAGAAGAGATCCATGTTTTCTGTCATTCATGACAGATATGAAGATCATAGCAAGCCTCCTGAGCAAACCTACCAGGTATCCAAGGAGAAAGCAAAAAGTTTGGGTGTCAGCTTCGTTCCTTTGGAGGTGAGTCTGAGGGACACTGTTGAGAGCTTGAAGAGCAAGGGTTTCTTAAGCCTCTGACCTGTAATATACATCACCACACATTTCGGTTGTATGATTTCTGACAGATATGCTATAGTGTCTAAGTCATTTTATCTGATTCAAACAGCAACTTCTAAGTGTGCTTCAATTTTAATTGAGGACGTTAAATTTCAAGCCTTGTGAGGGCCCCTTTAGGTGGTTGTTGTCCCTTTCAACAAAGAAGAACATGGCACGTGGTGTAAGTGCGTCACATATCCATGTATACAAAACTGATTTTGGGTATATACAGAAGGAATAAATGGCATGTGTTAGTCTTCTATGAAGCATCGAGCTCACAACAATAAGGTAATAGACTATGGACGTACGGCCCCTTTCTACTTATTTTTTTCTTTCTCTTTCTACTCTTCTATTTCTTTCTTCAATACTCTTTTTCCTATCTTCTATGGTTTTCACGTGGCTTGAGGAAGAAGTCCTTTTGAGATTTTCTTTTACGTATGTAATAGAGGATTAGAGGAATTGGCCACTCTAAATCCACCGGTGTTTACAGTGCAATGATCTTAGACATACCTAGAGGAATTGACACTCATCTAACAAAAACTTTATTGGACTTAGTATTACTATTAATTCTACTATTCCATTTTGCATTATAGATTTAACAATGATCAATTCCCTTCAATTTGGTTATTAACAACAAAGAGATAGCTAGCGCCTAGGAGACCATTACAAGGCAATAATTAAACCGAAAAAAGAAAAAAAAAAGAAAAAAGAGAGACAAAAAGAGAAGCTTTTGATTCGGTGAAAAAGTGTCTTAATTTTGGACCACCCATTACCAAAAAAGGAATGCTTAATTATAAGATCAAACAGATTTTAATTGTGGACCACCAAAATTACCGACAAGTACCATACATTTGCTGATTATATATATATAGAATGCAGAAAGAAAGGAAATATTGGGAATTAAAAATTAAAGTGGGAAAACTTTCATAGTATTCAATTCAAGTATAGCACCCATATGGCTTAAACACGATTCTTTTTTTTGGGCCAAACATCTCTTTGCTAGGAATAAATCTAAGATTGATATTTGATACAGTGTTCCAACAAGTATAGCTTCTAACCTTTTATACATTGTCAAATTATCAACTTTAAAGTAAAAGTTAATCAATTTTTTATATACAATAGCAACTTTAGACTTAGAGCATGTTTGGCCTAATTTTTTTTTAATTTAAAAATTATTATAAAACTTTTTTGAAAAATAATAACTTTTAAAATTAAATTAAAATTATTTGATAAATTTACTTTTTATAAACTCTTTTTTATAGATGAGTTGTTTGACAAAACAATTTATATAAATTCTAATATTAGTTAAAATTACCATAAAAGATATTTAATAAATAATTTTTTATTAGTCACGAATTTATGTATTCAAAATAAAAAATTACCTTTATTTTTTATCTATTTAAAATAAAATTTTGAAAATATAAAAAAGATTTTTATATAACATAAAGTTTATAATTAATAATAAATTATAAAAAAGAGTTCAATAAATAATTTATAAGTAACACAAAAGTCATAAATATTTTTTATTGAATAATAATAAATAAATAAAATCAAGAGAAAAATTGAATCAAATTAAAAAAATGAGAGATGAAAGAAAGTAGTGAGTCGATTACTAAAACCCTTAACCCTAACAATGGAAGAGAACCCATAAAAGAAGAAGAAAAGTTTAAGGCCTTAGTAATAATTTAGGAAAATCACATTTAGCTATTGATGTCCTTACCAACAAAACTTACTTCTATGAACAGTATTATCTCAACAATTCTAATCAAAAAATATTATTTCAATTTTCATCTAATTTATCTCAACAATCATTGACCTATTTAATTAATTATTTCAATCATAATCATCAAATATTATATATACCATAAAAAAGTTAAAAATAAATAAACATCACATAATTGTCATATCAAGCAATAAATTGAGAAATATCAACTAATGAAGAGAGTTTTTAAAGTCTAAAAAAAGTAAAAAATAAAATAAAAAATAAAATAAAAAAAGAAAAAATAATACCTGAATACAATTTTGAATTTTGAATCTTCTTTTTCTTAATTTTTGTAAAAACTAAAAAAAATCTTAGAATGATGATTTGCAAAAAGGGAGAGAGGAGTGAGAGATCGATAGGGAGAAAGGAAAGAGTATTTTTTGAGACAAAGGATCTTTTTGAGAAAAAATAGCTCTCTTAATAAGCTGACGTGTTTTTTTTTTTTAAAAAAAGAGAAAGCTCCTAATTGGAATTTTTTTAAGCATTTCTTTTTTAAATTTTATTCTTTACTTTTTTTTAAGAGCTTTTAACAAAATTCTATTTGGCACTTTTAAGCAATAGATAAGCTAAATATAAATTAGGCCAATTGGGCACTTATTGTCTACAAAATCATCGCATCCCCCTAAACAATTATAAGTGTAGTTAATTACTTCAAAACAAGTGACTAGTTGATCGAACTTGATTGCTTGTATTCATTTACAACTATATGAACTAATAATGCATAAACATTATATAAATCCGTCATTGACAAGCAAAAGAAAAGTAATTGAGTGGCAATAGTTCATACCATCTTTTTGGCATGAACAATGAATGAAATTAAGCTACCAGTGTGCTCTAATATTTCCTCTCTCTTTTTTTGTGTTAAGTGATTTATTTCAATTTTTAGGATTGGTTTTGCCATTTATCTATACTCCAATCCTTATCAACAAAGGCATCCCAAAATTCAGTTGTGATCCATGGTCTTGGCATTGCAATTCTTGATGTTAGTGACACTAGCCTCTGCTTTTGCATTTTTCCTTCTTTTCTTCGAGCATGTCTTTTAACCAATCTTTACAAATCTTATCCCATATACATCGAACCATTGTAGCATATTCAAGTGCCCATAGAATAAGTGAAAACAAACGTTTCTGTAATTGAACAACAAGTAGTATCTCAAATTTTTTCTACATTAACTCCTTTACACGATTGGGATTTTTCCTCATGTCGACCATGGACTGTTAAAGTGATTTTTTACTGTTCTTATTATTGCGGTGGCGACCCTTAACTCGAAGAAAGAATTGGCACTTAATAAAAGAAAATCATTGCATAGTTAAATATATAACTAATTAAGTTATATATAGGGTTGACTTTTAACGAGGGCTTTAGATCTCAAATTTTCATAGGTTTCATAATTTTATAATAATAATATAATTAATTATAGTAAAAATATACAAAAATTAAATTAGTTTATTAAAATATCTAGCTATTCTCTCATGCCTAATAAATATCTATTTTCTTTCACTATGACATCCTTATTAATTCTTAACTATTTACCTCATTTCTTATTATCATGGTCTTCTAATTAGTAAGCCTTCATCCCTTAGACCTAATAATTTGCAACCCATTGTCCATGAGAAAACAAGCCTAAAGTCACCTAAATCTACCTTTCATGCTACATATCCTTATGTTTCTTTACAAGTTAACTCCCCCAATAATAGCCCACTACTTATTTGCATTCTCCCAACTCAAATTTTTGAACCAAACAGCTTAAACATTGTGGTGGATTTAGCTCCAACCCCGACCAAGTAGCCTTCCCTTATTCAAATTCAGACATTCTTCAGATCAGTCTCCAACTCACCTAAATCTACTCATCCTTCAAATCAAGACACTTCATTTCGAGATCTCATTACAAATTCTAATTCTGATGAAGATATCTGCTCTTCTTCCAAAAACATATCTCTATCCTTTGAAGATTCCTTTTATATGTTTGATAACAAAAACAAGAAGGCAAGCAAAGGTTTCAAGAAACTGAGAAAAAGGGCTTCCAAAATCTTAATAGAAAAGCCACTTAATCCGATGCATCAATTAACACCAATGAAATGGTTTCCACTTGGAATCTCGACAAACAATTGAGACTCTCTCTTTAGCCCCATTGCCCTGAACAAAGGGTGATTTTTCCAAGGTGTGGCTAAAAATCGATGGCTTTGTGTTGGTGCTTCAACTCTATGGTTTCTTTAGCTTTCTCGTAATGAGATGGTTTTCCTAAAAATCATGAGAAACTAATGAGAGTTTTTACCTTATCAAGATGTGCTCACTTCTTTGGATTCGAGCTAATGAAGGCGATGTTTCTATTGATGAATCCATTTGGTGGACTGATCCGTGTGCGCTTTCCACGAGGAGATCTTTTTCTTTCTCAAGCCCTGATATCTCATGGCAACCTCTCTTGAATTGGTTTCTTAAATTTAATGTTGACGGATCAGCTTGTGATAAACCAGAACCCTCTGGTTGTGGTAGAGTTCTAAGAAATTCTTATGGCTATGTGCTGGGTCTCTTTTATAGTCCCCTAAGCTACCATGATTCCAATTTCGCTGAACTCACGGCCATTCTCCATGCTCTTCTCTTCTTCTCTTCTTCACAATCTTTTGGTGCCAAACTTATGATTGAATCTTATTCTAAAGTTATTCTTTCGTGGGTTATTAATGTCTCTCAAAGGCCATGGACTCTTTGGTAGATCTTCAATGAAATTGATTGTCTTTCTCACTGTTTTCCTCACATTTCGTCTGCCCATGTTTTCAAAGAAGGTAATTTCTTTGCTGACTCTTTTGCCAAACTTGGAGTTGATCGAAGTTTTATGTTCTCTGCGATGTAGTAAAGATTGGGATTGTTGGACTCATGCTTTTCTGATATGCTTTTGCCTTGCTGTCTCCTTAGCGATCTTTTGAGATGATCTATTCTCTTTCTTTGTTGATTATGGTTTTAACGTCTTGGCTGCCCCTGCTTCTGTGTTTCAAGGTCTTGATCATCTTATCATTTATGCATTTATGATGCCTATTTTCCAGCATGGATGCAGTGATTTTGACTTTGGCTCTCTTGTCACCTTTCTCCTGCAGAGCATAGTTTTATTTTGTTTAATTTTCAGCCAGCTGTTGCTTTGTTAATTTTAAGACTTTTGCTTGTGAATTTGAGCAAATCTATTCATTTGATCATCCATTTAGTACTCTTATTCCATTTAATATACTCTCTTTTCTTAATTAAGCAAATAAAAATTAAATAGCATAACCCTATTCTCGATGTCAAAATTCTCCAACTCTATGATATCAATCTAGATACCATAAAAATCATGATCATAATAATTATTAAAAAGTACTTTTAATGCATACTTCACTATTCATTATCTTACGATTTTTAATGCCAAATAGTTTAAGATTATTTATTTTACAAACCAAGGTTACTAAAAAGCTATAAAACTATCAAGTATTTCAATAACCTTATATCTACTATTTCAATAGTTTTAATAAGTTACTAAATTTTGCTTCTTCTTTTTTTTTTTTTTGAAATGCAAGTTTCATAAAATATTATTCATAAAAGTTATTAACAAAAGTAGATCTATGATTACTAAATAGATGATGATGTTATTAAAATAGTCATGCATTTTGAGGTTATTGATTTTGTCAATTAATATTATTGAAAAAGTTATAGAACTATATTTCAATAACTATTATCTTATGTTAGTAACATTACGTTACTGAATATCTATAGAATTTTCTAAGTAAGTATGTACAAGGTTATTAAAGAATAGATATAAAAAATATTTTGAGGTTTTAACTGTGCAAAAAAAGGTTACTAGAAAACCTATAAAATTATTTAATTTTCACTAATTTTGTATATACTATTTCAGTTGCTCATGTTTTTAATTTTAATATAAGTTATTGGCAAGGTACGTCCATAATTATAAAATAGTAGATGAATATTAAAAACAGTAATTATGCATTCTAAAATTATTATTTTTTAAATTTAGGTCACATCTCATTGAAGAACAACTGTTTATGTTAGTATTTTGTTATACATAATTTTATTACTTAATCATAATATTCTTTAACTTCCTTGAATATTTTATAATATTTCAGCAATTTCTCTTTTATAATAAGGTAAAAAACTTGAAGCTAGAATAGAATAATTTTTTTTCTTTGATAAATAAAGACTTTATTAATTAAAAAACGTGTTTAGTTGGAAAGTCTTTCATCATATAATTTTATAAGGAATATAGTTTTAGATACAGTTAACTCCTTAAAATTAAATGAAATAAAAACAGACATGTTGTTTTTAAAACAGGAGTCTAACAAAATAAGTTAATTAATTTTTTAATAAGTTAATCGTAAATTTAACCAATAAATAAATAGGATAAATAGGGATATTTAAATCAATCACTGCATGTTAACACTTTTATATACATATAGGGAGAAGAGTTGCTGGTAAGAATAGTTCCTACACGAGTTGCTGATGTGATTAAGGCTAACTCAAGCGGGAAAGTATCAATCCTTGTGTTACTGTTTAGTATGAAAATATCAGGTCATTATCCATGGGGTCCTTCGATTTCCTTAATCATATAATAATTTTGTAATGAGATCCATCTAGAAGCCTGACATTCCATGGTACATATCTCTTTCCTAGCTTTTGTAATTGTATGTAATTAGAAGATAAACACCCCACGGAAAGTATAACACGTTTTCTATGAAAAACCCCTTCATTAATTAATCTCTTCAAATAGTCACGATGCATATAGATGGAAGCTGCTTAGAAGGGTTTCAAGAAATATCGTATTCCAACCGTAGATCTGAACTACTTGAAGGAAACGAAGGAGGAAGAACAAGAAGAAACCTCCTGCCTAACCCACATCTAATTGCCTACCCACATGGTTTAATTTGAAGGGAAGAGGGAAGCTAGGCCAGTACTTACTTTTTGTGTTTCCCTATCTTTTTCGACACTATCAAATCAAGCAATGTTTCTCCCTAGATCTTGATGGACATTGATCACAATATCCATATCTTTTTGATACCCTTGTTTTAATAATGTTTTGTTTTTTAAGAAAAAAGGGGCTTCATGTTACACATCAATACCTATATATAGGCATTCTTCAATTAAAAATTAACTTCATCCAATTAATAAATGCCCTCACATTCCAAATAGGCTTAATGCATACGGCGTACAAAGGCCAGATGTAGCATGGGTGAGTCATCAAAAACGATCCTTTTATCAAATATTCAAATCCTCCATTACCCTAAATGGCATCCTAGAACCTTCTTTATGGTAATATAATAGAAAGTCATTAGCAATAAACAATCCCTAAAGCATGCAATTAAGAAGTGCGTACGTCAACAAGTGTTCCGTAAGGATTGGGTGATAAGCCCTTTCAAGGGACATCAACAACCCACTAAGCTTTTTATCTCATTCCAGAGTATTATTTCCCTCCGGCCTTTTTCCCCAAACGCCCTTAACTTTCAAAACAATTACATGTTTTCGGCCTGAAGACAAATGTGGTTCGAGTTGTGTTACGGAATCACGACAATCGGAGTATTGGCAATGGTGACATTGGCAAGTGGCGTGTCATGGGATGCAGTAAGCAACACCTGTTGGTTCCTGATTGGTCAAAAGAGATTGAGCT